ACCCTGACAATTCTATGATTCTATGATTTGTGTGGGTTGCTTTTAGGCACTGATTCTAGGTCTCTCCCCAAAGAGGTCTTGAATTCTTGAGTCTCACTCTCTCCACCAATTCCCCAGGCTGAAAAATGATTCTGAGACAAGCTAATTCACGACACACCCTTTAGCAGAGTGAGAAGGGTTCCGGGAAGAATTACCAAATTGGAAATATCAATGGTTGAAGCTAAATAGAGGTGAGTGAGACCAGGAGTACTCCTTCTGCTTGTGTGTATCAGCATCTTTTTCTCACCTGAGACATGGATGCTGACAATATGCATGTTCTAGGTCACTTCAGTGGAAAATCCAACAGTAGTTTAAAATGCCACTGAGTATAGTTTAAACTAATCTTTTTAGTGTTATGTTCACACCTCTGTTTTTTTCATAGCTCTCTCTCCATCTCTGAGGCAAAACTCGATTGCTGCAAAATCTGTGTCTTCTGTAAGGCTCTAGACTTCTGTTTCTATTCAGCCGCTGTGCTGACTAGACTGATTTTATCAATATTTAGGCAGAATAATTCTAGCTTTTTTAAAAATAGAATAGACATTTATATAAAGGCATTCCTGCTTCTAAACAAAGCCATGACATATCTAAGTATTTCTGGTTATGGAAGAAAGAATTTCCTTACCTAGTGAAAATGTCTGTGTTAGATCACTTACAGACAGGCCTACTTCTTTTTCAGGGAAGCTGTGGTTCATACCTTTAATTTTCATCTCTGAAATTTCAACTGGTTTTAAAATGGATCATGCACAGAACTAACCCCTGGATGTTCTACAGGTATTTTAATTTGAGTTATATCTTAATTTCATTGCAGTGTCATGTAGCTGATTTTTCATAGACAATTATATTCTCTGTTCCAATAAAACAACATTTATGAATTTTAATGTAAATTGTGATTAAAAATGTAGTATAAGTAAACAAATACCTTTGGGAGGAGGTTTCTTTTCAGCTTTTTCATGTTTTTCAGGTTTGTCTTTTTGAATTACTAGAAATGAGCACAATTATGTATTAGAGAAAAAGAAAAACTCACAAAGAACAAGAAAATGTTACTAAAACAAAACATCCCTGGAAGTTTAACATTTCCTCATGACTCCTGTTTTTCAGTTTGCAGAATTCTTCCTTCTTTTTCTCAGGAATACACACTGGGGTAAAAAGCTTCAAAATTTCTTTTGAGACTCACCTAAAAAGAAAACAAGTCACTCACACAGATACAAAGCTTTGTAGGGAATGTTTGTACTGCTTATTCCAGATGACATAATCTCGCTCAGCTCAAACTCTGAGCAGACACAGCCTCATTCTTCTTGTGCTCCCACCAGCAGGAAGCCGTGTGGCTACATTTGTCTTATGGAAAGGTGTTTTTCTTAGCTTGGGCTTACTGTCACACAAACACAGCCACAAGCTTGGTGCTCACTCCTGAGCCCAGCTCAAGTGAGTTCATGTCTGCACAGGATACACTGTGTAAACACACACTGCTTTGTCCTAGAAAGGCTGTCAAAATTTAACGTGGAGACTTCTGTCTTTCCTCTTTTGGTTGCCATCCAGGCACATTGCTGGAGCAAAACAGCCTTGAGAGTTAATTACATTTCTTTCAAGTGATAACTACATAATAGCAACACCCTCTCTAACTGAATTCCAGCCTGGAATTGCTGCCTGTATAAGTCATGATTGATATTTAGACTTTTTTTTTCTTTTTTTTTTAAGAGAACTGTTTCTTGGATGATATGTTTAAATAGCATTCCTAATACTGGAGCTTTCTGGAGCCTTTAACAAGGGGCTGAAGAAGTACTCCAAGTCTTCGTGTTGCACATAGAGAAACCCTGCTGGCAGTGAATGAAATACTCACTCAATTTTCAGGACACCTGAAGCTGGCCTGGACCTGTGTATCCTCATTTCCTAAGGACTACCAGTGGTTGAAATGGCCTCTAAGCGCTGCTGGGAGCTGACCCAGTTTGGAGCAGACTCTAGGGAAAAGGAGGGTGATCCTGGCAATGAGTAGCTCAGCAGCATACAGAAATGTCCCTTTGGAAGCGCTGAGGCCAACGAGTGCCCTAGTTCAGAGTCCTGCTCTAGGGACTCTCATGGCAATGAAATTACTCAAGTGAGGGTATCATATCTGTATGTCACACCGCAGCAGCAAATCTCCCTAGTAACAAAATTACCAAATTCTTCATAAAATTTTCCAGCCAGTGACTGGAGTCATGGCTGCTATTAAACACATTAAAGCTCTCAGTGATTGTTTGCTTAGCTAGCAGAAGATAAATGGGTAAACAGGCTGGCTGCTCATTAGGAATATTTCAGTCATTCTTGGAATTTATTTGCTTTTCCAAACTACACAGACAACATGTGCATTTATTTTCTCTGGATTACTTCAGTGTGATTTTACTTTCTTCAAAAAATCCTACGCTTTGAAGTTATACACTGAAAGTAGTAAAAATGACCAAATATCCCTTTAAAAGAGAGACTGGACAGTGGCTACCTTTCAATGTCTTTTAAGGCTTTAAGTCTTCATTCCACTTCTTCTCTTTTTTCACTCCTACTTTCTGTTTTAATTTCTCCACAAAGTTCAAGTACAATAAAGACTGATTTGTACATTTGAATCTATATTGTCCAAACAGATGCAAATTAAGCCTAATTAATTAATGCATCCCATCATTATGAGATTAATCTGAATGTAAAAATAGACTGATATTAAGATACATTACATAGTATCTTTTTCAAGTGTTAACTGAGTAAAAGTGAGAAGAAACCTAACTGAAACCTAACTTCCTAACTTTATATCTGGCTCTCAAAATATTTCCAATCAAAAATATTCAAATGCCAAGCAATAATATGTCTTAGTCTTTAAAAAATTATAACAGTGCATGCTAATTGGATTTTTAAATCCCTCTGTCCAAAAATTGGCTAATTATCACTCAAAAGAATACTGAAAATCACCTCTCATACAAGATATTGCTTCAGAATATATATGATAATTGGTAAATATGTAAACCTTAACCAAAGCCACTTCTGCCATGGAAGACAGTACAAATCATCTACTGAAATGAAAATGTTATTGCAAAAAAATAAAGGCAAGAAAATTAAAATCTATTTTCCGATGTATAGTAGACCCAGACTGAGAGACAGTAAATACTCTTGCATTAAGTCTGCTTCAGACTGAAAACTGACACACAATAGAAAGCCTTCTTTGCAGACAAATTACTGAATCCCATTTTAGAGGAAAAGATATCAAGGAATGTGTCAAGGGCGAGGGCTGGGCTGGTCACTGGATGCTGACAGATGCTTTCTTCATCCTCTCCCTTCCCAAATGGGAAGGGAAAGGGAATAAGGCAGACACTTCTGGATTGGAAAACTAAAACAGCTTTAAGAAAACAAAAATAAAAATAATGAACTATATACAAATACATACAAAACTGATATGGAATCCAACTCCTCCCCTGAAAACAATCACCACAGTTGCTGCAGAGCAGGCAGGCACCGGGGAAAGCCCAATGACAGAGGGGAACCAGACACAGGAGCTGAATTTTGGGAACTCAGGTTCAGGATCAAAGGCAGAAGATAAGATGGAGTCCTCCTCAGACACCAGTCCTTTAAGAAGAGGCCTTAACACTCATTATCCCTCAGCTTTATACTGAATGTGATGTATATGGAATGGAATACTTTCGTTGGTCATCTGTCCTGTTACTCACTGGAGGTGCAACCTTTTACTTACTTGTGACCCCTTTTCCTTCCTGGCCTCCCCAATGTTAGACAAAGATCCAGCGGTGACTTTGGTCACTATAGGAGCAAGTATAAGCAAGAGTCTTTCTGCATCCTGATCCCTAGTAGTGACTATAAAAATCAGGCCTTATCACTTCTAATAGCAGGCACTGTCTGCAAGAACACACTGTTAACTTTAGAAAGTGTTAACTCTTAGAAGACACTGAGCTGAAATGTAAAATCACCAAACGAAATTGATTCTGTATCTCAAACCAGGACAGAATGTAAATATAGTAGTCATAGACTTATTTCTTTAGCTGCGTTAAGAACAGTTCATAACTACCTCTCTGCATCAGGACAAGAGAACTAAGCAAGAAATATGTGCTGAGCAAGACTTCTCTCAGGGACTGATCAAGACCAACACAAGCAAAAAAGAGAGCACCCAAAAAATGTGCAGCATGGACTGAGAGAGTTCGATACTTTAAATCCTCATCTCCACATTCATCCATCCTGTATAAGCACTGAAAAATTAAAACTGTACAACATCCAGTAATAATGTGCATTACCTTTAGAAGGTGCTTTCTTTTCATGTTTTTCTGGCTTTTCAGGTTTCTCTCTGTGAATAACTAGAAATATGCAATGACAGTATTAACGGTTATTAAAAAAGAGAAATGTTGCACTTCAAGTGAAAGAAAGAAGAAAAAAGATCAAGAAACACAACTAGGCATCATGGCCATCCATGAAAAGAACGAGAAAGATTGATTCAGCTGCTGCAGTCTGCTTTTAATGCACATGATTTGAACTTTCGAAAACCTATCTGCCATCTCTGAGGTCTCTGCCATTGGCTGGGGGAGGAATGGCCTTTCTTGCACCACTGTACTCCCACGAAAGAAGTTAGTCAAGAACAGTCATGCTTATTTATGTTGTTTACTGGTTCATTTTGTTTGTTTGTTTGTTTATACTGTATTTTATACTGTGGTTTATTTTGGTTTATTGTTATTTTTCAGCTTTCTTGTTTATTACTTTGGTTCTTTTTGAAAGGATTTTCTGAACTCCACATAACAACTAACAGTTTTTCTAGCTATGAATGATTAAACTCTATAATGAATTACAAATCTAATTGCAGTGGCATTATAACTAATGCTCTTTGGGACTTTTTGTTTGCTTTTAATTTGCACTTTACAAATTGAAATAAAGTACACTGTAGTGACTAGATTTCTGGCTCAGGTGTCAAAATACACCTGAGTTGTGCAATAGTCACTGAGTGGAGGGTATTCAAGAATACTCCTGTATGTGGGCTCTGATTTGATAATTTTTTGCAATTAGTGTTTACACAGTATCTTGTCCACAGGAATGCAGAACTGAAACTTGTGTGTGTTCATGTACCCTGAGGTACCCTACAGGGACCAGGATGTGAAAACCAGCCGTCAGTTTGATTTTGGCATATGAGTTTATACTAAGAATACAGAAATGCATACATGAGCATTGTGATGCACTCTCCAGCCCTGTGTTGATGTTTCAAAAGATTATACAAATTGTGGAAGCAGTGCTTGATACTTATTTATTACAAGCAACTGCTTAAGGAATTAATCCTGCCCTATTCAATGCCTACGCAACAGCCCTACTCAATATTTAAAAAAATGTTTTTTTCACATGGCCTACTTCATTGTCTTTATAATAGAAATTGAGAAGACAATTAGTTCCAGGGTACCTGAAAATATAAATTAAGTTCTGACATTAAATCATTACCTGCATGTCTTTCCTTTTTTTCAGGTTTATCTTGTCTTTCCAATTTGTCTTTATGGGTCACTAGGAAAGAAGAAAAGTGTTCATATATATTAATAAAACCAAAAAAACTGTGGAAAAAAACTTAAGAGTCAAAAATAATTCTAACAAGATCACCATTAGCAGATGAAAAGGCAAACTGTGTTGCTCCTGAGCTACCTTGTGCATACCTGCACAGCACACGTTACGTTACATGGGTGTGAGTAGACAGCTCTGGCCAATAAGTTGCTGTTTACCATCCAAGCCAGGGAAACATGCCTTGGCTGTTTACTACAGCAACGTCATTGCTTGCAGTTGTCTGTCCATTCCTGAAGTGAGATTTTCAGAAAACTGTCAAGGACTGAGGCAGAGCTCACAGTTAATTCTGCCACCTGCATTAAAAAGAGGACATCACTTGGGCCACCCCACACTCACTCAGGTGGAGGAGTGTAAAAACCCTGGAATCAATCCTGGAGTGTAAGAGCATCACATGCACAAATGACACACTTGTCACTTGCCAGCTGGCTTGAAATGAATAACCAGTAATGGATACAGATAGCTAGTAATGGATACAGATAGCTAGTAATGGACACTAGCTGAGATCAGTCCCTGGCAATGATGACCTCAGAGCCAGAATTAGGTGCCCAGTATGCAGAGTGAAAACTAACATTATGATAATGGAAACTGTATTACACTATACACTCATTGACATAACATTTCTTTTTTACTCACCTTTCTGAGGATTTTATGCAACAATTTTCCAAACCATGGAAAATAAGCCTCTGGATTTTAGAGCACTTCAGAAAAATCAGCTGTGAAATTGCAGCCCAGCTTTAACTCTAACTCCCAGTTAAACTCATCCCAGTTTAGTAAAACTCCCTTTGTCAAACATGAGAAAATAAGAAATTTCTTTTACAGTACTATGCATTCCATATGCAACTGGAAATAAAGAAGGAAGAGCAGGGAATATTCAAACTCTCACAATAATGAGTTCCTGACATAGCTGGTGGAGTCACTTCTGAGATGTTTCTAAATATTCTCTGTGTCATTGCAGAAGATAATTAGAAATTAGAATAAGGTGTTATTTACTGTCTCTGTTACCCATGCATTGAAAATCTTAAATGTACTTAAAGTAGAAAATAAGTAGTTAAAATACAGGGATGCAGTAAAACTTTGAAGTCTCCCATTCACACTATGATGAAATGAAAAGACATGTATGCATAGTCATAGATTTAAAATATAATGTACAATCCAAAGCAATGTTTCTTAGTACTGTGAATACAGAGAATCTCTATATGCAGTAGTGTTTTAACAGCAATTGTAGCAATAAATCACTAAACTACATAATGCATTCACTTGAAGATAAAATACAGTTAGGTAAAATATTAGTAGGAGTTATGACAACATAAGGCAGTAGTAAATCTTCATTGGCTATCTGAGATTGACTGGGATAATTTTTTCCTATTCTAAAAAGTTTTAAAAATATTAAATATTGTCCTCCTATCAAATCAAATAGAAGTTTCCCAAGTTTTCTACAAAATAATGACATATTCATGTTTTAACATGGGACATTATTTCCTTTGTGCTGTCAATTTTCCAAATCTCAGAAAAAAATTCTCTTGTTACCATCATTCCATTTTCTAGCAATAAATATTCATTCTGACAGAATCCTAAACCTATGTGCCTGCCATTAACATCTAGAGTCAGTCTTGCTAACTCAATATATTTTGAGTTATTTATATAAAATAGAAAAGCTCCAATCAGAGACCATTAGAAAGGTCTAGTCAAGCACAGAATTCAGGAAGGTGCACGTTCACTTGGGTTGTGAGACTCATATTCTTGGTCTGAAATAAATCAGCCATTGCTGGGTATTGGGTCTTGCAATTTTTTTGCTGGTTTATTATGACCCTTGGCCTATTTGCTCTTCCAGAACAGGTTTCTTCCTCCAGCCTAAGACTTCATTAATTACATTTTTATGTAAAGGACATGTTCTCAGAAGCCTTAAAGTGTTTTAGCAAGTAGTCGCTTCAACAAAATTCCATTTTGCCAAAAAAATCTCACACAAGACGCAAACTAGATGATGGCTGTTGCAGCCCAGAGCTAACTGATGAATTGTATGTGGAGAGGAAGACCTTGTGATCCTGACTGCTACAACAGCTAGATCTGTAGTTTGTTGTTAGCATACACCACCAGCAAACTTGTATAGCCTCTCTAATACCCTCTTTCCGATCTCTCTGAAATGAGTCTGGGGAAATATTTTTTGTAAGGCAGATCTCTGAAGCCACCAGGGATCATGCCTTGTATGCTATAATTTTACTCATTACGTTTTGCGCAGAATTATTCCTAAAGACAAATATTGTGCTTGAATTTATACAAGAAGAATAGGAAAAGCATCCATTTATGTGCCGGGCATCTTTTACGTAAGTTAATAATACAGTAAAAACTTACTCCCTACTCTTTGAATATAATTTTAGCCTTTCTGCAGAGTGATAAATTCAAAGCGTTTTTAAAATCCTCATTCTCCTTCCAGCTGGCTTTTGCAACACCTCCTCCATCCTTAAACATAATTAGGATTTATAAGAAGGGTCTGAGTCGATAGACTACACTGCTATGTGGAATGACTAGTAAAAAGACAGAGAACATCAAATACTGAATACATACACTTTACAAATTCCTTCCTCTCTTTTTTTTTTGTTTTTCAGGTTTGTCTTTGTGAATTACTAGAATTAATTAAAAAACCTCAACACAATAAATCTCTAAGCTGGAGTTATTAAGTACACTTTATTTCACCAAAGTGATTGAGGACAAATATTTGTAAATTCAAATAATGTAATTTAGTTCTGAGTCACAGGTACTAGATGATGTTTAGACCTTCTTAATGTCAATATTTAATTCCAGGTCCAAGAGAAATATTTTTCCTTGAATAAACCTTCAGCTGCTACACCATATTTTTGCAAAATAAGTGTTTATTCAGCAACCTTAATCTAATCTGTGGGATCTCTTTTAGTCCTATTACACAAGCACCCTGACTCTAAGATTTCTGAGAGAGGAAATTATTTTCAGGTCTTGACAACATTGCTTTCTATTCTTAACAAAAACAAGCTAGCATATTGCTTTCCATGCTCTCTTTTTTTCTCCTTATTTTTAGCTGTTACTTCAGCCACAGGATGGATTAACAAGAAAACATCTCTTTTTAATCAGAGTGTAACTTCAGGAAGAGCAGCTGTTCAAAACACAACCAACTACAGGACCTGCTAGCTGTGGGCAAACATGAATCCTTATAGAGTCTATTACCCATCCAACTTTCAGATAATGTTTTTGGACATCCAAATCCTAGTGATTTAGATAGAGAAAAACATTCCTTCTCAATCTCGACTACTAAGAGACCAGCATTTTCCAATATCAAGGAAAAGGTGGGTTTTTTTGCAATGCTCAAGTTTCTTCCACAGAAAATAGAAGTCTGATGGGAAGACAGCTATGAGCTGTAGATACAAGCACAGTAATGTTTCTGCACACAGTCTTTTCACCAGCTTTGCATCAAATGTCATTTCACAGAGGTGGAAGCATTTTTTCATTGGTTAAATATTTCCTCATTAAAAAGCAGGATCATGTCTTTAAGAAAAATCGTTCCAAACATTCAGTAATTTTATTATGTCTTGCATGTGCTTGCATTATCCTAATACATTTCCAGTCATAACAGGTAAATTATTGTTGATAACAATTAGCAGATCTGTGGATAGAAAGAGATTGAAGGGAGATTTTTCAAAGCCTTCAAGGAACATGGACAGCCAATTTACACTAAGAAAATAAGCTGTGAAGAACACAGCAGCACCAGCAATATATTATTGAACGAATTAACAGGCTATATCTCATTCAATTGCTTTAGGACATATAGTAGCATTCCAAGGGAAAGAAAAAAAGTAGTCTCCTCTCTACCTACACAATGTAGAACTTACACTGAATATTTTTGCAGAAACTGTAGCATGCTTTTACATCTTAGATTTGTATTAGCAGGGGCTAGCTTTGTGCAAAACACTTCAGACAGCGTGTTGTCTGTTCTGAATGGGGCAATAACACAGTTTTGCAAACAATAGATCTGTGATGGTCAACGGCAGCAAAACATGAGATTCAGCACATCAGACAAAAACCCTTGTAGTCTATGCCAAAAGATATATCTGAATGCAGACCAGCAATCATAAAGCCTGTTTTCAACCACAGAACATTTTACTTCTGTAAGGGAGACTGTTGCGTGGGTTTGGTTTTTTTTTGGGGGGGGGGGGGGGGGTTGGTTGGTTTGTTTTCTTTTAATTTATTCTAGTTTCTCCACAGCATTTCCGTGTTTAATGCTTTGAACAACACTAACCGAATTGAGCATCAGCAGACCTTAAAGTGGACAAAACCCCTACTTTAAGGTTTTTTCACATAATCAAAATGTTATGGAGAGCAAAAATGCAAGGAAATATTAATATTTGTGTGGACTCCAAGCTAAAAAAATGTGGGGAGGGGATCAGTTGGCTCCTTCTTGAGAAATAAAAGTAACTTGACATAGCTGGGCAAGGAGCCTGGAATGTGGATAAGCAGGCTGACATAAAAATAAACTATTTTTCTCTTCCCTACCATAGGCTGAAAGCGACCTCTGGTTAGTTCAAGAGCCCTATCCTGTGCATTGATACCCCCACAGCCTCAGAGCATGCTAATCTCAGATTGTAATATTTACCATTACCTCTTATGGACACTGTCAGAGCTATGGCTTTTGAGTAGAACCTTATCAGGGAAGGGCAAGTGTTGCCAAAAATTAATGGGTTCATGTTTCAGGGCTGTGACGACTGGCCCTTTTTGACTATTAAATCACAGTGTAGCATGGACACTGAAGTCTATTGAAGCTTTTGATCTGAAAAATCTTTTTTTTTTTGCATGCTAACTCTTCTTTCCTCTGATATATTTTCATATTCAGTATCATACGTAGTCCTAAAAGCTGTATCATAGAAAATATTTCACTGTTGACAGATCGTTTCCAGATTTAGTCACTTGGATATCTATTTAAT